ATTATTATTATTATTATTATTATTATTATTATTATTATTATTATTATCTAAAACATTGCTGTTTGATTTCAAACTTGATGGTCATTTTGCGAACCAGTGGTGTGAAACTTTTTTTTTTCTTTGTATAATGCCCGGTAAACATTTTTTTTTTCACAACTACTCCCACATCTACATTTCTTCTTTTCCCTAAAGCAATGGTTTCCAAAATGTAGTCCCTGGATGAGTAGGTTCAGCTTCCGCATCATGAGGCCCATCCAAGACCTATTGAATGGAGCTTTCAAGGCGGGTTTGGGACAGCAATCTATGTTTTGAAATTTTTATTTGAAGTTTACATGAGTGTTTTGCCTGCATACACGTATATACACCACATGTGTGACTGGGGAATGCAGATGTCAAGAAAGGGGTACTGGATCTTCTGGCACTTGATTTACAAATGGTTGCAAAACACCACATGGTTACTGGTACCAAACCGGGGTCCTCTACAAGAGCAGTGGGTGCTCTTAACTTCTGAAGCACATTAGCCCCCTAAGAATGCTTTTTAACAAGCTATCTCTAAGCGATTGTGATATATGCCATAGTTTGAGAACCTCTGCCCCATCCTACTCACATAGTAGTATAAAAAGCAACACTTCACTGTGTCATTTTCACATCTCTACATTTTATTTTTATCCACATTTCCATATGCATACTTTGATTGTCTATCTACCTATTTAAAGAAAGCTTTCATATATTCCTTCAAAATTCTATCCTAAACACTAAAGATGAGAACAGGTCACATCATGACTCACAACAGGCACAGAACAGACCATTTGGTCTTTTCATTTTCCTACATACTAATGGGAAAGAGAGTCTGGAATATCTACCTGAAAAAGATTTATTCTATGCATTAATAAAGCTTCTAAAATTACTCTCATAAAGTTCTTTTGAGTCTATGTAACATAAAACATGCTGCTTAAAAACATGTTATTTTCAGCTTAATAAAAACTAATTATTTCTCAACTGGAAAAAATAAACCTAGACAGAGGAAGATGATGCTAGAAGATATTTCTTTCTCTTTTTTTCTTACATTATTTCTTAATTTTTTCTGAGTCAATATCTTTTTACGTAACCTAAAGGCTTACATCATCACACCGAACACTGGAAGACATTTTATAGCATGAAGAACAGGAACAATGAGCTAAGTCTACGGGGTTTATGCATTCCCTAAACATGTGCCTATGCTATGTGTTCTGTTATCATATCAGTGAAAACCAAAAACATTAGAGGCTACAGCAATTCTAATTAATGTTTTAAGGTCCATGACACTTGGGGTTACAGAATATATAAATAAAATAGCAACCGCTGCTGGACCTCAAAATCGTTAGTCTCATAAATCTTACTTTCCTCCAGATTTTATTCATTCATTCCCTAGTTGCTTCGTAGACTACTTTTAATCTTTTAACATTTCATTTATTCAGTGTGTCTCTCTGTGTATATGCTTATATATGTGAGCACATGTGTAAAGATCACAGGACAACCTGTAGAAAACAGTGTTCACATTCCACCATATAGTTTTTGGAAATCAACCTTTGCTTGTCTGGCCTGGTGGTGAAGGCTTTTACCACTGAGCCATCTCACCAGCACTGGAGATTTTCAATCCAGATCAGGCCTGGATTAGGCTCGGATTACTGATCTACCTTCTCCAACTGCAGTCAGTCCATGCACTATAGATAAATTAATTTTTAAACACTGAATTGACATACTTATCTTGTTCAGTGGGTTCTTGTGTTTTTCTTTTTTACTGTAAAATTTAGATATCATAGATATCAGACATTTAAAGTCTTCCCTGGAACTTGAGGCTAAAATCTGGCTCCATTCTTTAATAAACTTTATTTTATACTTTTCCCTAATAAGCAAATTATACTCTATTAGAATAAGTGAAACTTATTCTTAGTGCAAAGTTAAGATATAAGAAAAAGAAACACAGACACTGAAATCCCTAACAGCACAAGTTTATTTAAAATTGAAGTTAAGGAATATACATATATGTATATCTGGATATACATATATATATATATAGGTTTGTTTTTTGTTTTTTTTTTTGAGACAAGATCTTGACATATATCCCTGGCTGGCCTGGACCTCCCTATGCAGACAGGCTGACCTCAAACTTGCAGTAATCCTCTTGCCTCTGCTTCCCAAATGCTAGGACTACAGGCATGAGCTATATTGTCTGGCTGAGTTACGGAATATTTTTAATTCATGCTGAGAAAACAGTAATACTTCAAACTTACATGTATATATTTGATAATGAATACAAGAGAGTGCTGGGAAGGACTTTGACATACACAACTATTAGAAGCAGGTTATCAGAGCACTTAAAACATCATTAGAGTAATGTTATCAGAACAGTTAACATATATCACCTATGTATACATTACACCAAATTCATGAACACCTCATTTCCTAACTTCTCAAGCTATTTCAATAAATAGCATTCAAAGTTAAACATTAGGACTGGGGAGCAGAGAAGAAAGACATAAGTGGTAAGATCACATTATTTCAGAGCCTACATATATGAATACAACAATAAAATTAAGAAACAGTGTTTCAATTTTTTGTGTGAAACAATATTCTGCAATGTTTAGCGCATGAGAAGACACTGTTTTGGTCCATCCACTCTCTCCAGCTTTTCAAAGTGTTTTCTGGCATTGCGGATGTTGATCAGAGTAGCTGCAGAAGCTGAGGGTGGGGTAGGGAGACACCCAACAGAGTAAGAAGGGCAGTCAAAGGAATGTCTGTCTAGTAAAAGCAAATAAATTAAAAGATTCAAATCCTTCAATGTATGCCAGAATACAGAAGCAGGAAGCCTCACGCTATCAAGGTTTAATATTTCTAAAGCAGATTTGCACATATCCTAAACATAAAATTTCACAATCTTTTGGTTTGAAACTAATAAAATAAACCTCAATATTTGATGTTACCTTTAAATATTAACCTAAAATAGATAAAACCAGAAGAGAGATACGTTAAACACATGGGAATATTCTGGAAATACTATGAGAATCTTTAGTCTAATGGTTGTAGCAGATATGGCTTCCATGATATGGCAATATAAACACTGCCCCTTAATGCCCACAACAGAAATATGTGGCTGTGGAACATGTAGTGATCTACAATATGGTTCAGCTTTTAATAACTTAAAGGTTACATGGCTAGTCTTTTAAAAGTTAAGGGTTCTGTGTTCTCATTTCTTTAAAACTTCACAATTTAGTAATCTGCTTTCTTAAGCTTTCCTGAAGAAAAATATAATGCCTGATAAAAATATTTTCAGCCCCAAAATGTATGCCTATTAAATAAAATTCAACATTAATACTACAACCACTACTAATTTCTTTAACTGTAGCTTTATATGTATGTATGTATGTATGTATGTTTATATATTATATATTACTTATGTATAATATATGCTTTAACATGCCTACCATTTTTAAGTGTACAGTTCAGTGAGAGTACATAACTTCGTGTTATTGTGCAAATAGCCCCACTATAAAATAATTTTAAAATATCTAATAAAGTACTACCTCTATGGCATTAAAAAATATATATGAATTTGAAACTATGTCAGCCAAGTTCAAACTTACGAATGGATGGATCAGACATCACGACCATGACATAAGTGTTAGATGTAAATATGTCAATGAAGGCAGCAAAGTTAGAGTTTCTCACTTCCATGCTCTGCAAAGAGGCAGCCAGCTTGCTATGGGAGAAAGGAAATGATGGTTAAAGAAAAGACCAAAATAAGTTGTTCTTTATTATATTAGACATTTTTATAGAACTGTATTTCAATTCATCACATTTTAAATTTCCAAAGAAACCGTACTGATAACTTAACTTATTTAAAGAGTTACTAGGAAATAAGATATGGACTGATGTAGACTCAGAAGTGAAAATGGGCTTGAATCTAGACACATATTAAAAAAATGTTACCAAAGATTTTCTAATAGTTCTTATAATTAAAATATAAAGTAATAGGTTTTATTATGACATTTTACTCTCTCTGTCTCTCATTTTGTTTTCATTTGTCCACACTCTCCCAGAATCTTCTTCCCTCAATACTGCTAGTACCCTTATGCCTGAAATAGTGCACCTATCTGTTTTCATGTCACGTGCATCACATTTCCCTGTCTTCTCCCTAATTAAACTTAAGATATCTTTCTACTCTCTCATGGTTCCATTTCTTAGTTTTATAATCTGCACAGAAAGACACAAATTTTCCTGATGAGAACTGATAAGCTAGAGGCAGATGGAAGGGGAGGAGGTCCTCCCCTATTAGTGAACTGGGGTAGGGGCATAGGAGGAGAAGAGAGAGGGAGGGTGGGCTTGGGAGGGGACAAGGGAGAGTGCTACAGCTGGGATACAAAGTGAATAAACTGTAATTAATAAAAATAAATAAATAAATTTGAAAAAAGAAAAAACGACACAAATAAGAGAAAATATGGTATTTGTTTTAAGTAGCTCATTTAACTTAACATAGTATTTCCAGTTCCATTTATTTTCCTGCAAACTTTATAATTTTCCTTTTCCTAATGATAAATAATATTCTATACTGCATATGCATAAAGTCTTCATTATCCTTGAATCTGTTGATGGGCACCAAGAATGGATCTTTTATGAAGATACTGTTAATAGATCAGCAATAACATGAATATGTAAGTATGTCTGGAGATTAGTAGTTCTTAACCTTCCTACTTCTGTAACACTTATGTGTAGTTACCACCAAATATAAAACTATTTCATTGCTACTTCATAACTGTAATTTTGCTACTGTTATAAATTGTAATGTAAATATCTGATAAGCAGATTACCTGACATGCAACCACCAAGTAGGTCATGACCCACAGGTTGAGAACCACTAGTCTATACTATTCTATTAATCAACATATCTGCTTTATGTTGGTATCACATAATTTTTGTCATTATGTCTCTGAGGTACAATTTGAGATTAAGAATTGTGATACCTGAAGCACTGATCATTTTGCTTGGGACTGCTTTGGATATTCAGGATTATGAGATTAGATATGAATTCTAGACTTGGTTTATAGTTCTGTGAAGACTATAATTTGAATTTTGATGGAAACTGCAATAAATCTTTGTGTTGCTTACAATATTAACATTACCAATTTATGAGCATGAGAGGTACTTCCATCTACTAGAGTTTTCTTCAGTCTTCTATTTTTTTTTTAAATTTAAAAAACTAAAGTCCAAGTGGATCAAAGACCCCAACATAAAACCAGACACATTAAATCGGTTAGAAGAAAAAGTGGGGAAGAGCCTTGAACTCATTGGTACAGGACACAACTTCCTGAACAGAACACCAACAGCATAGGCTTTAAGAGCAACAATCAATAAATGGGACCTCATGAAACTGAAAAGCTTCTGTAAAGCAAAGGACACCATCATCAAAACAAAATGAATGCCTATAGATTGGGAAAGAATCTTCATCAACCCTCTATCTGACAGAGGGCTAATATCCTGTATATATAAAGAACTAAAGAAGCTGAAAAGCAACAAATCAAGCAATCCAATTTAAAAATGGGGCACAGAGCTAAAAAGAGAATTCTCCATAGAGGAATCTCGAATGGCAGAGAAACACTTAAAGAAATGCTCAACATAATTAGCCATCAGGGAAATGCAAATCAAAACGACCCTGAGATTTCACCTTACACCCATGAGAATGGCCAAGATGAAAAACACAAGTAATAACACATGCTGGAGAGGCTGTGGAGAAAGGGAAACCCTCCTCCACTGCTGGTGGGAATGTAAACTTGTACAACCACTCTGGAAAGCAATCTGGCGCTTTCTCAGACAACTAGGAATAGTGCTTCCTCAAGATCCAGCCATACCACTCCTAGGCATATATTCAAAAGAGACTTAAGTACACAATAAGGACATTTGCTCAACCATGTTTGTAGCAGCCTTATTTGTAATAGCCAGAAGCTGGAAACAGCCCAGATGCCTCTCAACTGAAGAATGGACACAGAAATTGTGGTACATCTACACAACTGAGTATTACTCAGCAATGAAAAACAAGGAAATCATGGAATTTGCAGGTAAATGGTGGGACCTAGAAAGGATCATCCTGAGTGAGCTGTCCCAGAAGCAGAAAGACACACACCGTATATACTCACTCATATAGACATATAATATAGGATAAACCTACTAAAATCTGTACACCTAAAAAAAGAAACTAAAACTGTACACCTAATCAAGAGGGAGGACTCTGACTGAAATGCTCAATCCCCATCCCAAAAGGCAAAGAGGCTGGACATCAGAAGAAGAAGAAAACAGGAAACAAGTTAGGAGCCTCCCACAGAGGGCCTCTGAAAGGCTCTGCCCTGCAGACTATCAAAGCAGATGCTGAGACTTATGGCCAACTGTTGGGCAGTGTGCATGCAATCTTATAAAAGAAGTAGGAAATAGTATGATCTGGAGAGGACAGGAGCTCCACAAGGAGAGCAACAGAACCAAAAAAATCTGAGCACAGAGGTCTTTCCTGAGACTCAGACTCCAACCAAGTACACATGCATGGAGATAACCTAGAACCCCTGCACACATGTAGCACATGGCAGTTCAGTGTCCAAGTGGGTTCCATAGTAATGGGAAGAGGGACTGCCTCTGACATGAACTGATTGGCCTGTTCTTTGATCACCTCCCCCTAATGGGGGGAGCAGCCTTACCAGGCCACAGAAAATGGCAATGCAGCCACTTCTGATGAGATCTGATAGACTAGGTTTAGAAGGAAGGAGAGGAAGTCCTCTCCTATCAGTGGACTTGGGGAGGAGTGTGCATGGAGAAGGGGGCATTGGAGGGGAGGAGGGAGATGTTTATGGGGGGGATGCAAAGTGAGTAAAATGTAATTAATAAAAATTAAAAAAGACATGTCAATAGCAAAAAGAAAAGGGCAAAATAAATGGCTAAGAATTACAAAAAAAAATTAAAAAAGGATCTTTCTTATTTATTTATTTATTTATTTATTTATTTATTTATTTATTTATTTATTTATTTTGTCTACAGTGTTCTGTCTGCATGTACACCTGCATGCCAGAAGAGGGCACCAGATCTCATTTTATATGGTTGTCAGCGACTATGTGGTTGTTGGGAATTGAACTCAGGAACTCTGGAAGAGCAGTCAGTGCTCTTAACCTCTGAGACATCTCTCCAGCCCCCTCTTCTATGATTTTAAAGTTTTCATTTTAGATGTCTTCCACTTTCTTTATCTGGTGTAATTTTTGGTTACTTTATTTATTTTGAAGTAATTGTGACTATAATGTTTTCCTGATTTCCTTCTCAGTAACTTCATTATTGTTGTATGGAGGTAACTACTTTTTAAAAGAAATATCTTTAAGATTATAATATAATTACACTGTTTTCTTCTTCTCTTTCCTTCCTCCAAACTCTACAATGTACCTCCTCCTTGATCGTGTGTGTGTCTGTGTGCATTCCTAAATATAAAGATACAGCCTGCTCAATTTATATAATGACTACCAATTTTTAATGTTGGTTTAGTATCCTGCTTCTTTGTTGAAAGTGTTGATTAAACAGTTATCCAGTTGTATAAGTCATTTGTAAATACAGATAATTCTTTCCTATATCCTTTTTCTTTCTTTTTGATCCGTGTTCTGTCTCTGATTTTGATCATTATACTGAATAAAACAGAAGGAGTGGGCACACTTTTCTAATTCTTGATTTTAGAGGAAATGCTTTCAGTTTTCCCCATTTGGTGTAAAGCTGGCTGTAGCTTTGACATGCATGGCCTTTATTATGTTGAGATACATTATTTTTATTCTGAGGTGTTTTTTTTCAGGTTTTTATCATTAGAGTTTGCTAAACTTTATCAAATGCCTTTCCTGCACCTACTATATAATTGTGTGAACTCTATCCCTATGTTCATTTATGTACTATATTACACTTATTGATTACGTTGAACCAACTCTTGAATGTGTGTGATGAAATTAACGTGGTCATATAATTTTACTGAGTTCTATAATTTAGTTTTCAAGTATTTTTTTTTGACAATTTTTGCATCTATGTTCATTAGGAAAACCGGTCTAGGTTATTTTTGGTGTGTTCTTACCTGGTTTTCATAATGGAATAATTCTTCTTTAATAGAATTATTTTGGCAGTATTCCTTCCCTTTATATCTTATGGGACAGGTTGAAAGATGTTAGATTTAGCACTTTCTTAATGTTTAGTAAAACCCATCAGTGAATCCACCTCGTTCTAGGCTTCTTTGTGGGAAGATGTTTAATTAGTGCTTCAGTCTAGCTACATGACATTATCTAAGATATTTCTACCTTTTTGATTTAATTTAGGTAGGTTAAAAATGTTTAGTAACCTATTTATGCCTTCCATACTTTTCAGGGCTTTATTTTTCAATAGAATTATTCAATGCATTCCCTAATAATCCTCTGGACTTTATTAGAATCTGCAGCAGGATCCCCATTTACATCTGGCTCTACTGATTTAATGCTTTATTTTTCTTCTGTTTAGTTAGCTATTGGTTTATCAATAGTGTTTAGCCTTATAAGGGAGCATTTTTTTGCCCTTACTCTCCATTTTATTAACTTCTGCCCTGATTTTTATTATTTCTTATACACTACTTCTTTTACATCTGGCGAGTTCTTGTTTTCATAAGACCTCAACGGTATATCATTATTATTTGAGATATCTCTGAGTTTTCATGTAAACACTCATAGCTTATAAACTTTTCTCTCGGAACTGCTTTGGCTATATAACAGAGACTGCAGTAAGTTGCACATCATTTTTATTTGATTTTGAGAACTTTTAAACTTCGTCTTTGATTTAGTCTATTACCCATTGTTTATTTAAACATGTTATGTTCTGTACCATTTCTTTGTGTTTCCATTGTGCTCTGGTCCACTATAATCTGACAAAATACAAAAAATTATTTTAATTATTTTGTTAAAGCTTATTTGGTAGCCTATAGTGTGATCAAATTCCGAGAATGCTCCATGGACTGCTGAAAAAGATGTGCATTCCACAGACACCAGATGTTTGCAGGTATTTGCAAAGGCCATTTAATTTGTGGTATAGTATGTCTCTGGCATTTCTTTGGTAATTTTCACTTTGGGGAACCTATCTGAAGATGAGTATTAATTATCACCAGTATCAGGACCCATCTGAGTTTTACTATCCCTGTGTATTTGTTTTATGAAATTAGGTGTCATAACACTTGGTGCATACACATTTATAACTGTGGTAAATCCCTGATACTTCATTCCTTTTATTACTATGTAGTGTCCTAATTTATCTCCTCTGACTAATTTTCATTTGAAGCATACTCCGTCAAACATCAGAATAGCTGTGCCAGCTTGTTTTCTGCTTCCATTTGCTTGAGGATTTGACGTCTATTCTTTGGCTATATGTCTATAGATTTCTTTTCTATTGAGGTGAGTTTATTGTAAGCAGCAGTTAAATGAGCAACCGCAGATATTGTGTTTAATGCTTACTATTTTCTATGGCACTAATTTATTGTTAGTTATAATGGGATCCTTCCCAGCTCTCCTTTCTGCAGTTTCATCAATTTTGTCTTTCCTGTGACCTTGTGATTGAGAGCATCTTCCTGTTATATAGTTTTCTTTCTTATAATTTTTAAAATGCTGGTTTGGTTGTCACAAATCCCATAGTTTTTGCTTATCTTGAAGTGTTCTTATTTTTCCATTAACTTTAACAGATAGCTTTCCTGGATTTGGCAATTTTAGTTGTCAGTTGTTTGGATTCAGGGCTTGAATATATCGTGACATGTTTTTCCAGCTTTTAAGCTTGGTAAAAAAAAAGATAAAGCATTTACTCTGATGCTTGCCTTATTGGTGAGTTGGCATATTCTTCTTACAGCTTTTAATATTGTTTCTTTGCTTTGTATTTTTGGCTGATTTGTCACAGAAAGGCTCTTTTTTGGTCATGGCTACTTGGGGTTGTAAATGCCTGCTGCTTGTTGTTGTAAATGCCTCTTGTTTCTGGTTGTCCATTTTTTCCCTTGGATTTTGGAATTTTTCTGTTATAATTTCATTGAATATTCTGTTTATACCTTTATGATTTTAAAAATTAGATTTATTTATTTTATTTTATGTGCATGTGTATTTTGCTTAAATGTATGTCTGCACAATGTAAACCCATGTTCAGAGGAGGACATCACATCTCCTGGAACTGAAGTTACAGATGGTTGTGCGACACCATGTGGGTATTAAGAACTGAACTCAGTACTCCTAACCACAGAGCCTTCTATCTAGTCTGATGCCTTAACATTTTATCTTAGCTTTTCTCTCAGATTCTAAAATTTGGGTTCTTGAATATACCCTAAGAATTCTTTTTTTAATTTATTTTTACTAATTACAGTTTATTCACTTTGTATCTCTCCTATATCTCCCTCCCTCCTCCTCTCCCAATCCCACCTTCCCTCCCTCTTCTCCATCCATGCACCTCCCCCAGTCCACTGAGAGGGGAGTTCTTCCTCTCCTTCCTTCTGATCCTAGTCTATCAGGTCTCATTAGGACTTGGTTTTGGTTATGCTAATTTTTTCCTTTATATATACTTGAGTGCATTTTGTCCTGTATTTTTAATATTTTTTCTGCTTCATTTTTTATGATAATGATTCTTCCCATTGTGCTTTTTGATAGATTCTTTCATTTCCTGGAGTCTAGTTTGGGTCTTTTTAAAAATCTCAGTTTCCTTAGTGAATATTTTCTACACATTTGTTTTTGTTTTATTTGTTTGTTTTTTGCACCTTGCCTCCACAATGCTGACCTTTCCTCCTCTTTGATAGCTTTAGTGTCTAGGTCCTGAATTAATTGATTTCCTTACTTCAGCCACTTGGTTATTTGAGTCCTCTACTTGAACACTGTTATTTTTTTTAAAGTAGGACTTTGAGATCTTTTTCTGGAATTTCAGGTATTTCACTATCTTTTGTTTCCAGTATGGAGGAATTGTGAACATACGTACACATGAGCTCAGTGTCACAGTGGCTCATTCTCTCTTTCTGGTGATACTTTGTTGTGTTTTGTGTATCTGCTGCAGCTTCTAGTTTTTTTGTTTCTTTTCTTTACTGATTTATTTTATGTGAGCCATTGTGGTGATCTTCTTTCACTTGGGTCTGTATTTCTCACAATTACTTAGTAAGTGAAGCCAACCCAGTAACAGATAGAAAGGTTTGACAGAAATTCTGGTGTTATCATGCTGTAAAATCCCCTTCTGCTTTTCACTTATGTCTTTAAGGTTCAAGACAAAGGGACTAGGGTCCTATGGGGAAATGTATTTTAGGTGTTTACAGGTAAGGTTATTAGTAATTAAAGTAAAAAAAGAGGAATGGGTGTAAAAAGGGGAAAGGAAGGAATAAAGTATAAGAAAAGGAAAAGTATAGAGTTACAGATGTGAGAAACAACAGAGAAAACAAAGAATAGATGCAAAAAAGGAAGGATAGTTATAAAGGTTTTTTCCTTGCAAGATATAAGTTGAAAGCATATAAATTAATAAGTATATAACTAAAATGAGACAACAATCATTATAATGTTAGTATTTCTTCTTAAGGCATAAATATAGTTCCTTCCCAGTTTGGTTATCTGTTATTTTCTTCTGTAGATAGACAGCTGCTAGTCTCTGCAGTTTAAACAAGTCATACAGCTATGTCTTCCCTGTTGTAAGAATTTGCTTTCTGGAGGAACTTCCCAGTCTGAAACAATACACATCAGCTACAGCCTTCTCTCTGGATTATTCCTGATTGCAGTTTCTATCACGAGCTTTGTGAGTCTGAGACTCTGAGGGAATGTGGAAAGAGGGTCTATACTTGTATTTACTTTTGTCATAGCATGTTGTCATTGAACCCAGATCTCTGCTGTTTATTTGCTAATGTCCTATACATCTTGCCCAAAAAACCTTGTGTGCATCTATAACAGCACTAAAGGTTCAGCATAATTTTGCATTACCATGTTGTTGCTTATGCCAGCAGTGCTAGCAGTAGTGCTTTCCATTTATCCTTCAGGTTAGTCACTCTGAGGCTCTTGAATTATACTCCCTTGTTGTATTTCTAACCTGGTATCCCTGGGAGCCTTACTCATGGTGTATCCAGTTTCTAGTTGTGTCTTCAAAGCCTGTCTATCTCCAGATCACTGACACTCATGCTCAGGAGGGGACAGTTTCTCCCTGGTATTATTAGTGCCCTAGGCTCGAGTGGAGGCAGCTTGGTATATTCCTGTCTAGTTGCTCACTGTTTCTACTGAAGATAATTTTTTTCTCTCACCTAACCTTATTTCTCTTCTATACCTTTCTCTTATCCCCCCATACTAACACTTTTAGCTCTTCTACTTGTATGTTGTTGATAGTCTTGCACTCTTTCCCTCTTAGCAACAGTGCTTCCTTTTTTAAAATGCAGGGTTGTCTACTTTACCAAGTCATATATTCCCCCTTCTTTTTCAAAACTTTCTTGGATATTCTATTTTTATTTCCCAAACGGTATCAAACATCTCAAAAAGATACTTGACTTGCTTATTTTTTTATATACTTCTGTACCAGTTTAGTTCACATAGTCCATGCATTTGGGTTCTTTTTTCTTTAAAACTCCTGAATTTAGTAACTTATTCTCTGAAGTCCTCATAAAGAACATAATATCCTTGCTCAATTACTTTTCATGTTCAAAATATAAGCCTATTATGCTTATATTAAACGGACAATGGACTACACTTCAGTCAGTTGTAGGCTCCCTAAGAACTCAATTTCCTATTTGATTAAACGAGTATAAACATAAATGTAGTCAACTACAGTTTCTTTAAATTTCAAAAATGATAGATATTATCCAGAAATGAACAGTTCTCATGTAGAAAGTCTCTTACCTACAGCTCAGCTTGAACTGTTTAATAATGTTGCTGATTTTCTCAAATCTGTGGGCATCACGTTGTTCTTTACACTGATAATGAGAAATCACCTGTGAAAAGAGATATTATATTTTTTTAAATTCATGCAAATACTCATATCACTATTAATAATTAAAACAGACATGTAGAACAGGGCGGTAGTGGCATAGGCCTTTAATACCAGTACTAGGGAGGAAGAGGCAAGCAAATCTCTGAGTTCAAGACCAATCTGCTCTACAGAATGACTTCCAGAACAGGTAGGGCTACACATCTATCTCGAAAACCAATAAACAAACAAATACATAAATCAGTCCTTTACTCATCTAACTTTTTTAATTAATTAATTCACTTTACATCCCAATCGTAGGCACCTCCTCTCCTGGTTAAGAACTGAGTTGTTACCTGGCATCCTGTTTCTTGCCATTTATGCCATATCCTTGCCAATAATTTCCATATTTATTTAGATAACCTACCCAGAGTCATTTACTCATAACTTTATTAGATCACTGTGTATTCTCTAGAGACGATTTTTGACTCATCATGACATGACTTTTAACTTACCGTGGTAAGTAAGCAGTACACATTGAGTACACGCCATATTTTGAATTTTTCCAGGTTTGGAATATATTGCACAATACTTTCTTGTGATGCTGAATAGCAACAAGGAGCCATAAGTCACAGATTACAAAGGTCAGTTCCGAGATTACAAAAGTGAAGGTCTGATCATTCAGGGGATTTGCATTGCTAAGGCTACATGCTTATCAGAACATAAACCTAGCCTAAGTTAAGGGGCATTTGGTGTCTTCTCAATTATCTCAATCATTAAATCTTACCTTATTATCTTCTCCTGATAAGATGACTTTAAAAAACAGTATACATAAAGTAGAAATAAATAAAAATATCCAGCTGCTCTTAAGCAGTAACTAACATTTAATTTTAAAGCCTGTACCACTAGCTGTTGGAAGTCATATTTAAAAAACTTTCCTAGATGACCCCAAGTATTGACTTTCATTAAAGAATTGTACTCAGGACAGACATTTACACCAGCTAAAAATATTTGCCTAACACCTCCCAATTTTAACAAAGTACCCTAAAGGCTGATTATAATTTGTGCATTCCTAGCATAAGAAAATCTATATTACTTGCCAGCAGAGAGCTGGCTTGGAAATCCTGACATACTGTCAAGTATTTGAGATATCATTCTTCTCCCAATGATAGAACAGGTAGATGCACCTTGAGTTTATCTCCCTCAGTACAAATCATCAGTCACACATAAGCTTTTTTTTTTTTTAAGAGAGAAACAAAAGCTGTTAGGAACAGAGTCTGCATTGGATTATCATTATATGACCATGTGTGGTAGGTAATGGCAAAGGAATACTACTGAAGCAAGGTTTTGTGCCATATACATCCAAACAAACAGAACAGCTTACTTCCTTATTGATACAAACATTAGCCTGAAAAAAATTTAGGGTGAGTAGTAAGAGAGTAAGCCATACCAGTGGGAGGACACAGAGAAGTACTCTATTTAGGATCTTTAGCCTGGCTCCACCAGATAGCAAGAAGAGTATGTCTTCATGAAAGAAGAGGGGAAACTACATGAATACATTCTCTATCCTCTGTTGTTAATTACATAAGAAGGTTTGTGCTGGCTGCTTACCATTACCCCATTCCATTGTAATGCATAAATAAACCTATGATATAAACAGTATTACTGTTATTTTGCAGAAAAGGAAACAAGCACAGAATGATGAAGCCATTTGACTTCACCTCATACTGGTATGGTTCAGAAACTTAGTTCTTCACTGGGAGCTACTTTTAGCCTTATATTAAATGAGCTTATTAATTATTTATGCAGTGTGTTCTGACAAATTAGCTTTGTTACTATTTTGTTGTTGTTGTTGGTTTCTTAAGACAGTGTTTTTCTGTTGTTATCCTGGAACTTGCTCTGTAGACCAGCTGCCCTGGAACTCAGACATTCACTACCTCTGCCTCCCAAAGGCCTATGCCACCACCCAGAGGCTATTACTTCTATTTTTAAATGTATACACTGGGCTAGAGAGATGGCTCAGTGATTAGAGTACTTCTTGTGTTCCAGAGGACACAAGTTTGGTTATCAGCACTCATGCCAGGCAGATCATGAAACTGCCTGTATCTCCAGCTCCAAGAAATCCGAATACCTTCTTTTGGCCTTCATGGGCACTCAGCAACTTCCCTCACAAACAGACACACAAAATCAAAATAAATCTTTAATATATATATTTATAATACAAGATTTTGCACCACCCACTCACAGCTCTACAGCAGACTCTGACATTGTGGCTACACTCAATAAAAGTATAACTACCAATATGCCTCTTACCTGCTTGACTTCTCCATCTGAACTCTTAAGTAAGTTACTGAGTATTTTACATGCTAGAAATTTTCATAGTGTATCAATCTTTTTGAGAAATGGGTGGGAGGAAGAGTTTTCTTAAAAAAGGTCAGAAGGTAATAGGAACCCTTTATCTTAATTATATAGTTATTACTAGAACTAATCTGAAGTCTCTGAGAAGGCATACTGCAAAAATCTAAATTTTATGAATTATTACAAGGTTATTTACCAAAGCAGCTTTTCTATACCACTTGAGAAAAATATGGCTTTATATCTAAAAATATACCTGCTGATGTGAAGTGGGAATGATTATTCCTAAAAGTAGTAACATATTGGTTTCTGACTGCAAGAAAACAGTTTGAAATATATCTGTAGAGCAGAAAGTCTTTACCAAAAAAGTAGCTCTCTCAAACAGAAGTACTTCATCAGCCTCAATAATTTCAGCAAAATTCCGCAGGTTCATTTCCAGTTGCTGAACATTGGGAATCAGCTGATAAACAATGCTGGACCAAGCCTAACAGGACAGAAGCACAATCGGCTATTACTAACAGGTAGCCAGTTCGACACCTTTGAAATGAGTAAGTACCCTACAAGACACAGACAGCAAAATACATTGATAGTTGAGTAAAAAAAAAAATATAGACGTTAAATGTAACAAAAATGAAACAACGAAATTAACCTAAATACTTGATTTGTATCTTCGAGTTGAATTTCTAGAGTTCAAACACCTGAGAAATGCTGAAGAAATTTCTTTCCATGAGTAAACAGGTAATTTAATATCATCATGTAGCCATAGGAAAAAAAGTTGCAAAGTATGATCTAACACCCTTCTAATCCAGACATCTAACAAATATTTAAGTCCAACATTGTACACAGCTTTAAAAAGAAGAAATAATGGTATATTTAACATACATCCAGGAGTAAATTTTCTGAAAATATTGGAGTCACAATGATGAGTAGCCCCTCCCTTCAAAGATATAATATGCCATTATAAAAGGAACAACCGGGGTTATGATTTTCAAATGTTTGGTGACATCTGTAGTAATTCTTGGTTCAATTGAATTTTAAAAGCTCATGTGATTACCTGAAACTTTAACTTCATCCAGGAGTATGACTAATGAATGCATGCAGATGGAATCAGTTTTACCCTCCTAGTATTCTCTTAAGGTGCTTGTATTCATATTTCCATTATAAAATCTCCTTTTCTCTCACTCCCCATGTGTCTGGTTGGGTGTACTTTGTTCTTCTGTCTCTTACAAGATGTCAGGAACTTTACTTAGCCATTTGTATATGTGACAGCATCCAGTAGATAGACAATGAATGCTTCTTGAATAAAACTTAATATAAAAATTTAAGTCAGTTCTATGTGACATTAATGTAAGAGATAGTAGTAGTGCCATGTCTCTGTTCCAATTGTTTTTATTACTTAGGCGTAGTGTTCCAAGTTCCCATGTTGGTGTTAATGTCACTGCTGAATTTACCTTGGAGAAGGCACCAAAGCTAACCACAGCAGAGACATTGTCACTCACAGCAGTGTTGTGATTAGCCAATTGTCTTTGGTCGTGTTATGTATTGCCATCCTTCACATCGCAGCTGGTTCTTATCAGTGCATCATGTCCATCCTTATTCACGGTTACCTGTTCTATGGGAATAAGGCTTTGAGAGAAATTCGGCCCATATTAATCTAGAACAGTACTTCCTAGACAGGTATCTCAAAATGTTGTTATTATAGTGAGCCTGGGGCAACACAATACTGGGGGAAAAATGAATCAGTTGAAAAAATCAATTGCTATTTTGAAAAGCCCAATGGTTTTCCTCCTTGCAAGCCAGGTTTTTGTGCTTCTGGTTGTAGATACTGTCAGATGAGTTGATACTGAAGCTACCAGTGAGAAAGAAGGATCGTTTGCTACCCAGAGTCACACTTGTCAATGAATATCAGAAGCAGTCTGAAGAAAAGGTCTGACCACATGAGGACACAAAAGTAATCTTTAAACCACCAGTAAGCAAGAAAAACGGAAGAAGCAGGAGCCTATGTGGTAACTTCAACGTCATCCACAGAACTACTAAGATAATAACCTCTAGACTGCAACCAGTATGATAATCATTCCAGCAATGCTAACAACAAGAGTTGAATGCTCCAATTTGGCATGAAAGCTGAAGTTACAATATAGAGTATACGTATTATATCTCATTCTAAGATTCACTTCTCTCATTTCTCCACTAATTCTTTTTTCTATGGTCATCTAAATTTAGGCGGTTTAGTTTATACCATTAGCCCCTGCACATTAGACACAACTACAATAATCACTGAGACCACCTGGGTCAAAATGGATGGTGGATGTTAAGCAACATTTTCTCTATGAAAAAGAAGAGTAGCAGATTATTCATATCCAAACTGGCAAATCCAGTGTGACTTGGTGAAAATGTCGACCCAATCTAAAATTAAAACCAAAATCTTTTGATGTTGAGTTTGATTTTCTTCAATCGATTTGTTAGAGATTATTTTCTTTTTAGTACAACAAATCTAGATGGCTATGAAATAGTATAAAATATTTTAGTTTTGTCAATATCTTTCTAACTTTTATTCATGTTCTTAGGGTAGAGAACTGAGGAAACATACACACCTTATACAGAGTTTCATCCCAGATAGATGTTCGGAAACAAGAACATTCTAATGGACGTGATAAACGCCTTAAGTCTTCTTCTCGTTCTTTAAAAATCTGAATTTTAAAAAAAAACACAACAAACTGATAAGCATATAATAGCTCTCCTCCTTCATTGCAAAATCTGAGATGTAATTATTTTATCATATTTTGATCAGGACCTCTTACTCTATCGTCATAAGACTCTTGGGTGTTATTATTTCTCAAACAAGGCTATAAATGTGTTAATGACTATTCAAGTTGTTCGGGCTTATCCCGCTTTTGCTAAATATTCATAGATTTCACTATGATAGAAAATGAACTTTATAATATAGATCTTAAAATATATGTATATTCTAATCTATCAAATCTTAGAAAATTTAATATGGTAATGACTATATTAAAATTTTACAAATCAAAATATATTTAGTTCTCCAGTATAAATAGAAATACTATTTGATAACATATTACATGTATATATGCAATTATATATATTTATATGTTTAGTGTAATTAATTTGTAGCACATATATAACTCATACAAACAAGTAAGCTCTATCCAGCTAGAATTTGTTTCTATGTATACATACTCACATATCCAGAAAATATCTCTATAAAACATGTATACTCACTCAGTTGGGTATGGTAGCACACGCCTGTAATATCAGCACTCATGGATGCAGAGACAGGCAGATCTCTGTGAGTTTGAGGACAGCCTGGTATACAAATCGAGCCCAGGACAGCCAAGCTTACACAGAGAAACCCTGTCTCTAAAAACTAGTTCTTGCCCCACGCCCCCAAAAAAACATGTATACACAGATGTTTCCCTGTGAGCAGATTGCTAGCATGTGTGTGCACACAGTGATGGCTAATTCTTCTTAATTTTTTAAATTTCATCTTAAATTAAAATGTACTTACATTACTTTTACTCTTCCCTTTCCTCACTCCAGCCACTCCCAAGTCCCCTCCCTCCAATTTCTTCCCCTCCAATTTCTTCCTTGTCCCTGTTCCTTCTTAAAATAAGTCTTTTCCTTTGGTTAGTATTGTCATACACACACACACACACACACACACACACACACACACACGTATGCACAAATAAGTAAAGACAACCTGATGACTTCATTTTTGCTGTGTATTTGTATTTGGTTTAAGGGCTGATGACTTTGTACTTGGTAGCCAACTGCTGTCTAATAGGACTTAAGGCACAAAAAGAGGGAAATCATGCCTGATACTAGAAACCTACTCCTCCTCCAGGAACTAGTAAAGTCATGGATGCCACTATGCTAGACCAGCATAATTCCCTACTATATTCTGAAACTTATTCTTATGCCTACAGATAAGTGTAACTACCACCCCTCATCAAAAAAAGCCCTTCTTTAAAACAAATATAGACTATCACAGAAAACCACAACCAGATAAAATGCAGAGATCAACAAATCCTGGGGAATGCAGCACCAATGGATAGGTGCACACCACAGCTCCTGCATCTATGGCTCAGAGAACACTGTAGAAGAGGGAGCAGAAAGAATATAAGTGCCAGAATACCAGGAAGTCTGCTGTGAAACACTCTTCCCTAGACATGTCTAAACTGCCTTTCTATTTCAAGTACAACATCAAAGTTTTATGGTTCTCTAGTATGTTGGCCTACTCTCCAAATTTCATACTTGCCAGCCTCCACAATCAGTAGAACTACTTGCTTACACTAAATCTACCCTCCGGCCCCCATCTCCCATTCTGTTGGTTCTGTTGCTCCAAAGAACCTTTAATAAAATATTTTAGTACAGAGAGTGGGTTCTAGAATAAAATCTTTATTATTCAAAAATATTTCATATAATATATTTTAATCAAATTCTTCCCCCAATTCCTCTCAGGGAATCTACTCAGAAGAAAAGGCAAAAAGATTTTAAGAGTTAGAGTAGAATCTTAGAGATGAGTTTTCTGAATTGGTTTTGGTATGACTGGGATTACTTCTCTAATCTGATTAGAATTAAAGATGCAATTGCAAGAAGTAATGAGAACACACAAGAAATTTTGGAGGTGATGTAAAACTCAGATACTGAATCATACTAATAAATAATTGTAACAGGCAATGTTCTGGCAAGCACATATGTGACTATTTTTGTCAAAATGAGTATAAATGAGTTTGTTAGCCAATCCCAATTTTGCTGTATTAAATGGGCAATGATAAAAATGAGCTCATATTTGAATATCCAGTTCAATCACAATATAGATGATCTGAAATGTCTATATTTTTCTTGAAAAATATACTTCCTACAGCCACAGGTCTGAGGTTGCTACAAAGTAAATTTGGAATCTCATTCTATGAAGAGATAAATTACAGCTCAAATTAAATGCCCAGCTCCATGAGGTACCTGCTTGGAGAGCATGGCACTGGCTATGAGGGAACATGATTCTGGAGGGCAGAACAGGTCTCATATAGTAAAACCTTGAGGAACTTGGGGATGCCTAAATACTCAACTCTTTGCCTATAGAAGAAGCTATTACATTCTTATCTAAGAATATTCCAATTTTTCCTGGGGGAAAAAAAGATTGAAATGATCTCCTCCGAGGTTGCTGTAAGAGTTCTGATTCCATAACCCTTTGCTTCTATATCTATACAGATTCAAGTATTAGAAGAGTTCTAAAGGTGAGATACAAAGCATGAATCATGAGTAATTATTCTACTCTCTAACTATGATTTTTGTAAAAATATAGACAAAAATAGAAGGATAACTATGAGAGTAGATATTAAAGGTGAAGAATATAGTAGAAGGAACATAACATTCACTCAGGCCAAGTTTATTGATACGGATCCAATAAGCAGAAGATTTGTAGGGTTAAGAAAGCATTTTGCCCCCCACTATCTGGATTCAATCCGGACATTGCATTGTGCCGTTTATTCTAAGCATCACCTGTCTCACATTTGTGTAAACATGCCACCATTTGTTCTCCAATTTGTCAATCAAAACAACCAGCCACAATGTTGAGCCACAATGTTGAGAGGATAGGGTAGGCATCCTGGCTCAGAGCAGGAGGAGAAGAAGAAAGCAGGAGGAGAGAGAAGAGGAGCAGAAGCAGGGAAAGCAGAAGCTGGAGGAGAGGTCTTGGAACAAGGTGGAGAAATAAACTGGACCTAAGATATCACTAAAAGTAAGTATAATGGGGTGAATCTGAATGGTAGGAACTACACAGGCTTGGAGGTTTAGGATGGAGTAATTATTGCCCAGCACTGTATTCTAGGTTAACTAAAAAAAGAAAACAAAACAAGAATGCATTTTGCTTGTGCAGTTCCTGAGTGAGACATGAATCCAAACATAACCTATACTAGTTGAAGTTAAAATGTCAAGTTAAAATATGCATTAATCTGATACCTAGTAAAGAATCTAAAAGCTGAAGGAGATTATAATGATCAAGGTTTGTCATCTACAATCTATTCATCAACACTGGGAGGTTCCAGAACACAATAATAATGAGAAACAAATTAGTAAGAGGAACTCTAACTTCCTTCCCCAGGTCTCTGATCACTTTTCTCTGTAGGCGAAAACTTACAGTGGTATTGCTACCACTTAATTGGAAGGAGAGGGTGTTAGAGTAGCAAGAGCAAAGCGGAGACATTTTTTATTATGAAATACAAGAAGGATACACTTATTTGATTGGACAAAAGAACGTAAGCACCAACTCACAGAAACCTATAGTTTTGACCAGCTGATCTTAGTGCTCCTATAAATGAACTAGATGGGAATATCTACTGCATTCTTACTTGGTCTACATAAATTAAATAATTTAGATAAAATGATCAAAAATCTAGCAAGAATCATAAAATGTCATGGCTCCTCAACTAGTATCCAGATTTGCACCACTTTGCAAATCCAGAACCCCTTGACTGAAAGAGGAAGCTGGGTCAACTTAGGAAAGGATGCTGCATGGTGGAGAGGATGTGGAGAAAGGAGAATGCTCCTCCATTGCTGGTGGGAGTGGAAACTTGTATAACCACTTTGGAAATCAATATGGAGCTTTTTCAGACAATTGGGAATAGTGCTACCCCAAGACCCAGCTATAACACTCCTGGACATATACTTGAAAGATGTTCCACCATACAACAAGGGCATTTGCTTAACTATGTTCATAGCATCTTTATTTGTAATAGCCAGAAGCTAGAAACAACCTAGATGTCCCTCAATGAAGAATGGATACAGAAATTGTGGCACATTTACACAATGGAATCATGAAATTTGCAGGCAAAAGATGGAACTAGAAAAGATCATCCTGAGTGAGGCAACCCAGACCCAGAAAGACACACATGGAATGTATTCACTTATAAGAGAATATTAGCCACACAGTAAAGGATAAGCATACTACAATCCACAGACTTAAAGAAGCTAAATAACAAGGAAGACCCTAGGAAGGATGCTTAATTCTCAGTCAGAAAGGCAAACAGAATAGACACCAGAAATGGTTGAAGAGCGGGAACAGGACAGGAGTCTACCATAAATGTCTTTTGAAAGACTCCACTGATAGGGAATCAAAGCAGATGAGAGAATCACAGTCAAACTTTGGATAGAGCACAGGGAGTCATAGGAAAGAGTAGGAGAATAGAAGGACCTGGAGGGGACAGTAACTCCACAAGACCAACAAGTCTGGGTCCAGGGGGTCTGCAGAAGCTGATACAACAGTCAAGGACCATGCATGGAGAGGACCTACAACCCCTGCTCAGATATAGCTGATAGGCAGCTCAGTCTCCAAGTGAGTTCCCTAGTAAGGGAAGCAGGGGCTGTCTGTGATATGGACTCTGTTGCCACTTTTCAATCACTTCCCCCTCGTGGGAAGTGCCAGGTCACAGAGGAAGAAGATGCAGGCAGCCTAATGAGAATTGATAGGCTGGGGTCAGACCGTAGGGGAGGAGGAATAGGAAAGGGGGATAGGGGAAAGACGGAGGGATGGTGGAATCAGGAGGAAACTAGGGGGGCTACAATCAGGATGTAAAGTGAATAAATTATAAAAATATGTTTACATTATTTTTAAAAAGAAAAAAAGAGAAAGGATGCTGATACAATTCCATTCGGGTTCTATAGAAGACCTGGCTCTTGGAAAGTGGGATATCATATACACAAAAAGTTTCTGACTGCAGTTGCAAGTACTAGAACTGATGTGGTTAACATACTAAGTCTTCCATTGGTATAAGATTCAACTTTTCCTGTTGAGTATAAGAAGGCTACTAATTATTTGTGTTAGCTTTGTATCCTGCTACTTTGCTGAATGTTTTTATGGCTGTAGAAGTTTTCTGATGGAGTTTTTAGGGTCTTTATGTATATATTCTTGTTTTCACTCCTTTAGTCCATCTTCCCTGCTCTCCAGATTCTTCAGACTTCTTCCAGAGTTGGCTTCTAGAATCAGTTGAGTTAATTCCTTAAATGAAATACCCTCCCATGTCTTTTTGTCTTTATTTTTCTATACACAAACACATATGATTGGGTCTCTTTCTCTGGAAAACTTAACCATGCATAAACATACATAGAAATATTTATCTTAACTGAAATTGTTATTTTGAGAAACACATTTTTAAAACTTTTTATTGTAGTAGTTAATAAATTAATGAGTTTCTCAATTAGGTTAAAAATCTCTTAAGACTATAATATATGAAGATATTTATATGAGTATTTAATAAGTATTTAAAACAGTAAAAGAAATTAAAAGTGATTGAAACATTCAAAAGGAGCTCATTTGTTGGAACGCTCTAAGTTTTTATTACAATTTTAACTAAAAATATGTTTTCTAAAATGTGACTGGGTACAGTAGAACACGCCTATAATCCCAGCAGAGGCAGGCAGATTTCTGTGAGCTCAGGGCCAGCCTGGTCTACAAAGCAGAAAGGCTGAGAAATCCTCTCTCAGGAAAAAGAAATGTAGTGCTGGGGATTTAATTCAAAGTATCAAATGGGCCAGGCAGCACTCTAACACTAAATTATATCCCTGGCTCTTGAAGTTATTTTTTAAAATCCCAGAATAAGGAGTTGGAGAGAGGGTTCAGTAGTGGAGAGCATTTTCTGTTCCTACAGAGGACTCAAAGTCAGTATGTGGTTCCCAGCACATATGTAATTCCAGCTCCAGGGGATCTGACAGTTTTTCTTACTGAAGCTAGTACCAAAAAAATACTTTAGTATGAAACCTTCCTTAAGACTCCAAGGGACTGGGTGGTGGTAGCTAATACTTTAATCCCAGCACTTGGGAGGCAGACACAGGTGGATCTCTATGAGTTTAAGGCTGCTCTACAGAGTTCTGGAACATCCAGGGCTACACAAAGAAACTTTGTCTCAAAAACAAAAATAAACAAACAAAAAAAGACTCCAAGACTATGAGAAACTAAATCTAATACTGCTTTCCTTAGTTCTTTCTTTTTTGTTTTGGATTTTTTTGGAGTCAGGGATTTTCTGTGTTGCCTTGGCTGTTCTGGACTCACTTTGTAAACCAGGCTGGCTTCACACTCCATCTGCCTCTGCCTCCCTGAGTGCTGGGATTAAAGGCACGTGCCACCACATCTGGCTTTCTTAGTTCTTCTCTATGATATAGAGAAGAATTTTCATTTTTACCTTATACCTTAATATCTAGTGCTCTTATTTTACATTAAACAAACTGAAGGTAGACTATGTCTACGTCTTACCAAACCCAGAATCTCATAGCTACGTAAGAGTTTGCCTATTTCATTTTAAAAGATTGATTGGTTGATTGATTCTGCCTGCGTGTGGGCCTGCATGCCAGAAGAGGGCACCAGATCTCATCACAGATGGTTACAAGCTACCATATGGTTTCTGGAAATTGAACTCATGACCTTTGGAAGGGTAGCTAGTGTTCTTAACCTTTGAGCCATCTCTCCAGGCTCCTTGCCTATTTTACTACATGTCTTCTGTACTGAGCCCCTGAGTTCTCTCTGGGATATTTTGGGCTATAGGTAGTTAATTTTATGTGTTTTTGTTGAAGAAATGAAGGTTGATATTTCCTACTCTATCATCCTTAGTCATTTTTTAGTTATGCTCATGCATACTAATTCATTTATGACAGTGCAATTGTGAGGGATCATGAGTAGTGCTTGACACAGTGCAGTAGGCACTTGAACTGGTACATATTAGTTTCCTAAATTAATCTAGTGATAGCAGTAGCTTCTCCTCATCTTATTTCCAGTGGATCTATTAACTGTGACAACACAACAGGAGCAGCTAACTACTTTTTAAAATGCCAAAGGTTGTTTAGTGAAAGCACATGCTCAGATTCTTACCTAGTTCTGAAATATAAAATACTATGAACTGACCTACACTTTTTATAAAGGAAGTGTACAAAGCACACAAACCATTTGGTACAGTACCTTTTCAGTTTCTTACCAAGTCTCGCTGATCCTCCTGTACCAAATCCATTTTGTGTACCAAGCAAAAGATTTTGGCTTCTGGAGAATTCTGCAGAATAGCCTCGAGGCATGACTGATAATAGTGCATGTCCTTTTCTAGTTCACGGCTCTCCACATCAAAGACATAAATCAGAACCTCCACATTTCGAAAGATGTTGTCACGCTGGCTAGTGAAATAATTTTCCATGAAGGTCTCTTGTCTGATAGGGAAAAAAAGTCTAGATAGTAAAGACATGCTCTGTTCAATCACTCCTGCTTGAAAGTTTGTTGCTTAATCAAATAAAGTAAAAGCTTAAACTTTAGTTCAGACAGCAACTAGCAGCCAAAATGTCTTGAGTCTACCTCACTCTACTTCAGGGACATAACTTGCAATCCTATAGAAGCCTCTGACTTTCTTCTTATGCTTTGTTGTTGCTGCTGCTGTTCTTCTTGAGACAGGGTCTCACTATGTAGCCCTGGCTGGCCTGGAATTCACTATTTAGACCAGATTGGCCTCAAACTCATATAGATCTACCCACCTCTGCATACTTACCATGCCTGGCCTCTCTCCTTTAGTTTTAAACATACTTACCTTCTGTTCATTTTTTGAGTGGTTAGTGTTTTAACTCATGAATCTTTTACATATATTGATCACTCTTTTACATGTTACTTATCTACTTTTTCACCTAATTAACTCCACCTTGTTTCTTAGACTTTAAACCAACTCATATGTCCTTACAGAAACCATCCCTACCTTGGGCCAGCTCACTTACTATAAGCCCTTTACTGACACATCCCTCTCATTTACAACACTTATCATAGGTGCAATGCTATACTTTTTTGTATGAGTTTTTGATTAATAGTGTTCAATTTTGGAGGGAGGGGGACAAATGAGAGTGAGACTGGGAGAAGAGGAGGGAGGAGGCTAGGATAAAGCAGTAAAGAGATTAAATAAATAAATGAAAAAAAAAGTGTTCAATTCTCTACATAACCTGACAAGGATCATCTATGATATTATCTCCCACTGTGTCACAGATGAGTGTGGTAGTTTAATTCCTGACTTGGGAGGCAGATTCAGGCAGATCTTTGTGAGTTTGAGGCCAGTCTGGTCTACAAAGCAAGTCCAGGACTGCCAGGGCTACACAGAGAAACACTGTCTCAGAAGAAAACAAAACAAAACAAAACAAAACAAAACAAAACAAAACAAAACAAAACAAAAACACCACCAACAAAAACCAAACAAAAAAGGGCTGGCAAATGCTTAATGAACATTTGCTAAATAACTTTCATTTAATAGTCTAAATATATGAAAATGACTCCAGTGATGACTTTTCAGCAGAATGTTACTCTTTGCTCCTAGCTGGGGTACCACTTCCCAAAAAGATCTCAGAAGCTGGACAGCAACAAAACAGCAGAATCATTTAGTGGTGTATATTGTCTGGTGTCTACAAATTTCCAATCCTGAACCTTGCTAATTATAGCTGTGTGACCTTGAAAGAATCATAATTTCCCCTGAATTACAGATACTTGATCTACAATACTGAATTTCTTATTTTGGTACCTTAAGCAAGGAACTTGGGTAAGTCTATTGACAGATTAGAGAATTGAAAGCAATTACAATAAGGGGAGATTTATATCCCAGTGTGTTAGTCCAGCTGCTAGCAAGAAAAAGTTATTTCCTTAATATTATATAGTTATTACATTATTCTTTCAAAACTACTCCCTGAAAGTCTTTTGTATATTAGGAGCTAGGAAATACCCAGCAGCCAATAATAATCATTTTGTATAAGTCACTACAGTATATATTTTAGGTTATCATCATAATAAACCTATGAGTTGGTGATTTTGCTCTATTGTACAAGTGAAGCTTCAGCACAGACAGTTTGAATAATATACTCCAGACAAAGAACCTATGCTCTTAATCACTATGTGCTACACACTGCTGCTTCAGCACAGTGGCACAGTAAGTGTACATTTGTGCTGTGATTTTTGAGGATTGCCTTGGTTATGAAAGGAAATTCTCTCACCTTCAAAAAATAGGTAACTTGGTCAGATAACATATGCTCAGAATCCAATCTACAATGATAAGACTACCTAGAAGTAATTACTAAATGATTAAGAACAGTCTGGTATAATAAATAATAACTAAGAACTCTGTACTAGTAATCTGAAAGAGAGATCTAATTTATGCTACTGCAAAAGAGGCATCATCTATTCCACAGTATACATACTTAGATGAAGTCTATGTTGGAGCTATTTAAAATGTCTTCTGTAGAGGAAAATTTCACAGCTGTACAAAACACAGATCTTTATTAATCAAACGACAATTCTGAAACCGTTTTTAGCCAGTACATCTATGCAAATGATAGTTTCTCTAGGTGTATTTGCTATGCTGGTTATACTAGCTGACATCATTACTGACATCAGCTTCACAAACAAGTAGGCACATAGTACTTACCCACCACAGTCCCACAGGTTCAAAACCAAGTTTCCCAGAAATCGAACATGAGAATGTTCTACATCAACTGGAAGATAAATGTTACAAATCTAGTACTTGTAGTAAAATAACATGAAATTTAAAATAAACAAACCACTAACCCATGGTGTTTAGAAGGACCAAAGTGAAGTGAAATGCTCAAAGCCATAACAAGAAGGTGATTTTCAGTTTAGTTATGTGGTTTAGTGGCAAGGTAGGCACTTATACTACCATAAACTAAGGAATTGCTCTTGTGTAAGTAATTTTTAAATTTCAGTAGTTTAGTACACAAAGCAGAAACAATCTCCAAATATAATTATTAATATTAAGATTTAACACACAAGACAATGACATACACCATTTAACTGAGATTCCCAAACCCACAAAAATTAAAGACAGAAAGCAAACACAGAACAAACATAAAACATAAGGAAACTGCTATAATGACTTCCTCTTCAGTTAATAAGTCTACTAGATTTTCTTCTTTCTGACTCTCCTGACCACATTCAATTCACTTTGAGTCCTTTGTAGTATCTCTTAATTCTATTCTTTATTTTATAATCCATCACCCAACATCAAGGAGAGCCCTTATCACCTCATGCCTGCACTACGAGAAAGCTTTACTTACTTTACATCACCCATTAGGCTACTGCAAGGTTCACCTTCTTAACACTACTTTAAACATACCACTCTCCACTCAAAACCCTCTCAATGGTACCTCCATGTTTAATGGGGGTCTCTCAAGGTCCTTCACACTTAAGCTTTCAATCTACTTTTATAATCCCCACTAATTCACATTAAGAAATCCTTTCACTTCAGCCCAATATGTTTTTATTCATAGTCCTCCAAACTCTATTACCTCCCCATCTCCCAACATATTTTATATTCAGGGGTCGCAAACTTGCTAAATCAGGCCATGTGATCAAACCTATACCATTAAAGCTGGTTAAATATGAGGATAAATATCTACCATGAGCTCATAGAAGTGACAGTTACTCAACTATTGTTCATTTTCCATGCAAAATTGTTGGCTCAGGTTTACTAGATCTTTAACATTTTAAATAGTAGCTTAAATTCTACATTTTGTAATAAAAACTTTGACAGGAGATTACCACTTTCAATTTTTCTAAAACAATGTACAGACAAAAGAGAACACATCTACAGGCCTTATCAAGCGCACAGGCTGTCTGTTTGCGACCTCTGTTTTATTGTTCCGTCCCACTAGCCATGGCTTTTTTCATACTTTGCTGCAAAGCCTCCTTCTTCCTTTAAAAGTTAATCCTAAAACTGATCCTAATTCCCACCTCCTCCAAAAGTTCTCCTTGCCTGACAAAAATCCCACTTCCATTATCACTCTCTCTGAACTCAAACATTTATTAAGCAACTACTCTCTGCCAGGCACGAAAAACCCCAAGAAAGAATAATGAAAGATTTTATCATGAATATTTCTCAAAGTGTAGCAAATTTATTCCATATAATTTATGTGATAGTTAACTCAATCACACTAATATTTCCACTATCTCCAAGCTGTTACCTAAACTAATTGTTATCTACTTTTGTACAACTTTATCTTCTCATAATGTATAGAGATAAACCATCATGATAAAGTAAATCATAAAGACTTTCAAGTCAAACAGACTTTAGTTTATATAACAGTTCTACCTGTGTATGACTTTGGACAAGTCATGAAAGCTTATGAAATTAGCATTCAATTCTGTGAAAAAAAAAAAGGAAAGAACATAGTATTAGCCTCACAGGATTGCTGTGAGGATTCAAAGAGCTATATACATAAAGTGCCTGGCACATAGTAGATGCTCAAACTACTTCCTTTTACCCCTCTACTTCCCCCTCCTTGGAAAAGGAATCATATCTTACATGTCTTTGTATTTCCAACAGAGTCTACGAGAGAGTAGGTGCTCAAACTGCTATTAATTTGAAGACTATGTATACGGTCTAGTACTAAAAAAAAATGAAAAGAAGTGCTACTGAGAAAGGGAAAGACAATAACAAAAGAAATGACAGGATTCAGTGATTTTTTAGATATAAGGCATATGGGATAGAAATCTGGTTTCTACTCCCATATCCCAGAAACAGTTCTCATTAAGTGACCAATGGCCCCATTGTCAAATCCAATGGACTTTTTAGTCCTTGTCTTTCTGCAGCATGACACTGTTGAGTACTCTCTTCTTAAAAGAATTCTCTTCTCTTGGTCTCTGGTGTCACATCTACAAAATCCTGGAAGATCCTCCCTCATGGGCGCCTATTCTTCTTTCTGTTCCTTAAATGTTAGGGCTCTTCGGGATTCCAACTGGCCGCCTTCTCAACAAAATATTCTTCCCCAAGGCAACTTAACTGTCATAATGCTACATTTAGAATTCAGTTACTAACTAGGCAACACTAGTGTGGATTTTTCTATTTTTCTGACTCATATTGTATACTATACTGTCTAAGCTCAATGCAGCCAATATAACTTATCTCTTCTTTCATCCAAACCAATCTGCCCCTTTCAGTTTTCTCCATCTTGATGAATTTAACCAGCTGACTAATCTAAAACTTCTCATACTTTCAGTCTTCTTTTTCCCCTCACAATTCTCTCCAGGTTTCCCAGAAATCCTGCTGACTCCGCCACTTAATCATAAACCCCAACCCAGTAACCTTGCACCATAACTACCACCATCTTAGTCCCCTGCCAGCTCTTAAAGTTTTCAAAAAAAATAGAGATTTACTTCTCACAATTCCAAAATCGTGAAAATTCCGAGATCCAGCCACCAGCAGAGTGGGAGTCTAGTGAAAACCAGTTGTCTGGCTTATAGGTTATAGCTGTTTCTACCTTGCATCACTCCAATCTGTCATCCACATTACAGGTATATTGATGTCTCCAAACTGCTGAATTTTATACCATTCTCTAAAATGAACATGTCTGTGCATACATAATTGTATGCATTGAGAAGAAAGCCAGAATGGTAACCTTAGAAGTACAAATAGTGGTTGTCTCTAGAAAGTTGGCTTGACAACTAGGAACAAAATGGACTTTTTATACTTAGATAATGTTCGGCGCTTTTACAAGTGTTATTATGAATTAAAACTAATTCTTCCATGCTACTTTTTTGTTTAACATTCTCCCATGAGTTGAATACCTTTCTTAACTTATAGGACACTTTATATATAAACCTCATTTCCTGTTTCCCTGTTAAATTTTAGAACCATCTATGTCCCTCTTGTTCTCCTATAACTTTCCTACTCTGTTATCATGAAAGCAACTAAAAAGAATGAAAAACAGAGCTTTAGGGATTCATATACACTTATGGAGCAGAAAGGAAAAAACATTATAATTAAGATTAACTTTTCTTTTTAAAGCAGGGAGGGGTTGTTGAAGTCAAAGGAAGAATATTGATGTGATAAAGCATTAAATAAAAAGCCAAGAGAACAGAATTTTGAGAAGATGGAAAATCCTTGAGCCATCAACAGTGTTTAAGACTAAAATATTTCATAATCATTTTAGTGACAAATTTACACTTTAACATTTAATTATAAATTAGTAATATCATTTTTTACTTCAAATTTCAAAATGCAGAAGTCTATAAATTTAACAAAATAAAACTCGAATTTTTTCAGGAATGACAAACCATGAAAACACTAACACATTAAAGTCAAACAACATTTTAAAAGTAGTATTCTTTTTACTACCTTTAAATAAAATCAGTAACTACATCAAAAGGGATAACAAATGAAAAGCAATGTACTACATGTATTCTGAACAAACACAGACCTTTCTTCATTAGTGACAAACTTGTTAATGATGATATGCTAAAACATTAAGACCAGTATTTTTCATTATATTCTTTATTATCTTTAAGGAAATTCAGGAAATACTAACCAAGTATTACCAGTCAACTTGATACATGAGATATCCTTAGGGGTAGGAGCCCCATCCTACTGACATTATCTGGGAAAAGATACTTCCAGATATATGCTTTCTGAATGAAGGGCCTATTTTAATTAATAGGATTATAAAATTTGCACCATTATGATCATAATAATGCTCCCGGATTATGTCAAAACTATTTTCAGCAGTTTCAGTAATTTTGAAATTCTTGCTGTGAGACTATCCATTGGATTCAAGGTAATTAACCACCTCTGCTGATAAGTTAGAAACACAGTGAGAAAAGATGTTTCAAATAAGTGCACAGAATTTAAAATATGAATGAAAAAAAGACAGCATCTTCAACAAATGGTGCTGGTCTAACTGGATTTCTACATGTAGAAAAATGCAAATAGATCCATTCTTATCACAAAACTAAAGTCCAAGTGGATCAAAGACCTCAATATAAAAACAGACACACTAAACCTGTTAGAAGAAAAAGTGGAGAAAAGCCTTGAACTCATCGGCACAGGAGACAACTTCCTGAACAGAACTCCAACAGCACAGGCTCTAAGATTAACAATAAATAAATGGGACCTCATGAAACTGAAAAGCTTCTGTAAAGCAAAGGACACTGTCAACAGAACAAAATGACAGCCTACAGACTGGGAAAGGATCTTCACCAACCGTATATCTGACAGAGGGCTAATATCCAGAATATATAAAGAACTAAAGAAGTTAAACAGCAACAAATTAAGTAATCCAATTAAAAATGGGGTATAGAGCTAAACAGAGAATTCTCAATGGAGGAATATCAAATGGAAGAGAAACACTTAAAGAAATGTTCAATGTTATTAGCCATTAGGGAAATGCAAATCAAAATGACCCTGAGAAATGGACCATGCATGGATAAAACCTAGAACCCCTGCACGAATGTAGCCCATGGCAGCTCAGCATCCAAGTGGGTGCCCTCATAAGGAGAAGAGGGACTGTCTTTGACATGAACTCAATGGCTGGCTCTTTGACTCCCCCACCCCTCGCTGACCGAGGGAGGAGCAGCCTTGCTAGGCCACAGAGGAGGACAATACAGCCAGTCCTGAAGAGATCTGATAAGCTAGGATCAGATGGAAGGAGAGGAGGACCTCCCCTATCAGTGGACTTAGAGGGGAATGGGAGGAGATGAAGGAGGGAGGGTGGGATTGGGAGGGAATGAGGGAGAGGGCTACAGCTGGGATCCAAAGTAAATAAACTGCAACTAATATAAAAAAAATAAAAAATTTAATTAAAAAATATTCAACATCCATAGTCATTTGGGAAAGTCACTGGGGAAATGCAAATCAGAACGATCCTGAGATTTCACCTTACAGCCATCAGAATGGCTAAGATCAAAAACTCAAGTGACAACACATGCTGGAGAGGATGTGGAGCTTTCCTCTTCTTACTTTTCCTTTCCAACCTTGTACAAACACTTTGGAAATCAATATGACGCTTTCTCAGAAAATTAGGAATAGTGCTTCCACAAGATCCAGTCATACCACTCCTAGGCATATATCCAAAATATGCTCAAGTATACAACAAGAACATTTGCTCAACCATGTTCACAGCAGCTTTATTTGTAATAGCCAGAATCTAGAAACAAACTGATGTCCCTCCATGGAGGAATGAATACAGAAAAGGTGGTATATTTACATAATGGAATGCTACTCACCAATTAAAAACAAGGAAATCATGAAATTTGGAGGCAAATGGTGGTAACTAGAAAAGATCATCCTCACTGAGGTAACCCAGCAGAAAGATACATATGATATATATTCACATATAAGTGGATATTAGCCATATAATATAGAATAAGCATATTAAAATCTATACTCCTAAAGAAGCTAAACACCAAGGAGGACCCTAGGAAAGAGGCTTAATCCTCATTCAGTACAGCAAACAGTATAGATAGTAGAAGTAGGAGAAGACAGGGAACAGGACAGGAGCCTTCCACAGAGGACCTCTGAAAGATTCTACCCACCAAGGTATCGAAGGAGATACTGAGACTCATAGCTAAATCTTGGGCAGAGTGCCAGATTTATTATGGAAGAAGGAGATAGAAAGACCTGGAGGGGACAGGAACTCCACAAGGAGAACAACATAGCCAAAATAACTGGGCCCAGGGGGTCCTGCAGAGACTGATACTCTGACCAAGGACCATGCGTGGAAAGGACCTAGACCCTGTATTCAAAGGAAGCCCACTGGCTCCTCAGTTTCCAAATGTGTTCCCTAGTAAAGGGTACAGGGGCTGTCTCTGACTTGAACTCAGTGGCTGGCTCTTAGATTACTTTCCCCTGAGGTGGTACAGCCTTGCCAGGCCACAGAGGAAGATGATGCAGCCAGTCTTAATGAGACCTGATAAGCTAGGGTCAGATAGAAGGGAAGGAGGTTCTCCCCTATCAGGGGACAAGGGGAAGGGCATAGGGGGAGAAGACAGAGGAGGCTGCAGCCACAATATAAAGTGAATAAATTGTAAAAAATAAATATTTAAATAAAATTAAACTTAAAAAAGAGTAAATACTTAGGATGTAAAAACAAAGAATTGAAAGTATGAAGAAAAGGTATTCCAGGAATTGATGGGTAGTATAATATAGAATAATATAGACAGTGTAATATAGACAATAGAGTATAGTATAGATAAATTATTATCTGTCATAATAAACAGAAGAGGACAAATTGTTATTCTAACTCTGACACTTACTAGCTGAATGTGATTAAGTTTTAAGTTATCCTTTCATCATTATTAGAATACAGGCAATATGAAAACTAGAGTAAATGAAGAGAGGGCATAAAAGTTACAGTCATTCAATAAGCATCCCTACTGAAAACATATAGATAGTAGGCCTACATATTCAATTTGAAAAACAAAAATATTAAATATATCAAATCAAGACACAAGACAGAAAAACATTTGGACAAGTACACTTTCTGGAGGCTAGATGTCAACAAACCATATGAAACTATCTTGACCAACATTTTTGACAATAACTTAGATACTTATCAAATATAAAACTGCATATAACTGTGAAGGATACCTAACATATCAAGTGAGATAATAATTAGCCAAAATGAAAATGGGAATTTCTGCCAAGTACAATGACACCACTTGTAATCCCAGCACTCAGGGAGGCAGAGGAAGAAGGATCTCTGTGAGCTCGAGGGCAGCCTGGTCTACAAAGCAAGTCTAGGTCAGCCAGGATTACACAGAGAAATCCTGTCTTGGGGGGGAAAAACACTAAAAACAGAAACTAGGAACTCCTTTGTATTATGCATAAAAAAACTGCAATCCAGCAGCTTAGATTTCAAAATTAGGAAACATGAGCCATTTAATGTAAGAATTAATCATGAAGCTCAAAATATGAGCTGTACAAAAACCAGAGGATGGCTATGCTTTAATATATGTAAAGATGAACTGAGACTTTTATTGTGATTCAGTAAAATAAAGGTTGCTCCAAAACAAAAAGGTAGGGTTTCATTATACTAATAGCAAAGTAATGACCAGAATAAGAGAGGTAGTAGGCCTACCCTGCCTTGATTAGACCACATCTGCATTCAAGTCTTATAGGAAAAATAGACAAATTTGAAGAAGTCCTTAAAATATTTCAAAATTACGTCAAATAAGGAACCAGGGATGTTTAAAAGGTAGGGATAACAAAATTTGGGAGGTAGAGAATGAGTAAGATAAATTGAGATTTTGAGTATTCTCAAATATTTGTAGAGAATAGAAGAGAACCATAATAAAAAAAAAGAAAGAAAAAAGAAGAAAGATAGCTAGATAAACAATTAGACAGACTTGGTACTTTATGTAGGAAATAGTTTTCTAATCATCAAAACTGCTCCCTTTATCGAAGTCTACATTATACTACAAGCCCCTAACAGAAATGAAGTTCCTTCTCCTTTGTATCCCAGAGTCTGGAGCATAATGTGCTTTGAAACCAGATTGGGGCGACTTACAGAACAGTGCTAACTTGTTGCTAAAAGTACTGAAGATGCTAGAAACCCAGATTGGAATCTCAAGGCCAGGCAGAGGAGTGCCTTACTCATCCAGAAGCCAAGAACAAAGGCAGGATTCAGAAATGCTTAGATGCTTCAGAATGAAATGGCAATCTGTATCAGAGCAGGGCACTCCCAGGATCCTTGACTCATTGTTCTGGTAGCCATATTAGCCAAGAAAGTCTATACTAACAGTCTAGCCATAAACGTCAATTAGATATTTCCCAAGTCAGAGTAGATGCTCCAAAGAGAAGATCTAGGTGCATAAAGAGAGCCAGCAAAGTGCAGAGCAGGTATATCTTTTCCAAGTTTATCTTTTAATAAAGACAAGGATTAACTCCTGCATTGAAAACATCTTAGATTTTATTATACACTAGTTAATGTCTATGATTTTCTCCTTTGCATAAAAAGTTATAAACAAGCATTCTTCCCACAAAATAAGCAGGCAAAGGGTCCCTATGCTTGCCTAAGAAACAGCAGGATAAACAAGAAGTTAGCTAGGAACATCCCACTTTGCAAGCACCCTAGAAAGGAAAGCAGCTCCCCAGGATAGTGAGCTATAACAACCAGAATTAGGCCACACATTCTGAGAAATGCAAAAAGGGAAAGCATGCTCCAAAGCAAATTCATCAACCTGTGCATTCTCAAGCTGCTGCAATCAAGTGTGTTATGCAGATTAATAGCCAAGGTCACCTCACTTTACAATAAGATGAAACATCTTACTTGTTGCACCAAGGCGACGTGTGTCTCTGGCAATATAATTTGCAAAGATAATAGACCTCATGCTGGTCTTACCAGATCCACTTTTACCCATCAACAGCACCTAAAGACAAAGTATGGAGAAAAGTTAGCATATCTAGTGTAAAGAGAGCCATTTTCCCTCTGTAGTTGACATATTACAGAAGTGCAAGTACCAATGACCAGTATGGACACCTGTAATTTAACTATCCCCTAGCCAATGGTGATAACATTCCATGAGCCAAATACTTACCTGCTATGAATTACACATCATTTTAGCAATACAACTGTGGTGAGTTTGTTATTAAATGTAATATTTATTTAGAACTATGTTAATAAAATACCACCAGAATGGAAAACTAACTATTCTCCTATTATCAAAGGTTATATATATATAACACCAACAAGCAGATTTCAGTATAACTGAAAAGCTCTTCCTACTTCTCTGTTCAAGGTCAGTTTTTGTCACTTTAGCCCATGATTTTATCCTTTCCATGTACTTCTACAATTTTCTTTCATCAGTTTCTGTCTCTTCTTTTTAAGTTTCTTGTGCCCTAAGAAAACTGGGCAAGTAACCTACACATAACACCATTCTTGATTTAGCTTATTGATTTAGCTTATCTACTGTCTTTACCCCTTGACTTTCCCAGTCTACAACTTTTAGCATCCAGACAATTTAATAGAATGGATTGTAGTTTCTTTGCTTTCAGCCGTTTAGGGAGTCGAGACTCTATGTCTGTGTTCACAGTGTATTTTCTACCATCATTTATTCTTCTTTACTAAGTCCCACTTATCCTTCAAGGATTGATGCAACAATCAGCTCAAGAATTTTCTCTGGAGCTAGGGATGGAGCTCAGTACTAATACAAATGAGACCCTGTGTTCAATCCCCAGTATCCTCCCCATAAAGTTTCTCTGACCCAAATACCTTAGGCCAGCAATTCTTAATCTGTGGGTAGAAACCCCTTGGGGTGGGGGTGGGATCAAACAATCTTTTCACAAGGGTCACCTAAGACCATTGGAAAACGCAGATATTTACATTACAATTTGTAGCAGCAGCAAAATTCCAGTTAGGAAATAACAACTAAATTAATTTTATACTTTTTTTTGGGGGGGGTGTCACCATAACATAAGGAACCTTGTTTAAGGGCTGCAGCATTAGTGATGTCTAGAATCACTGCCTTAGGCTGACAGTTAGCTTGCCTACCCCCTAGTGGTACTACTATGTTATCTTAGACCACAAAGCTCTGCAGTCCCTCCTTTTGGGGAATTTTCTTCTGGGACTCTAAACCCTTCAAGGACAGAGGGAGCATCTTTGTATCCTTTGTATCTCCAAGGCCTGATGCATGGTAAAACCTTGAAAAACACTCACTAAATGAATGAACAAGCTATTAAAACAAAGATACAAGACCGTAAAGACATCTTTCTTGTGTTAGTATTTAACACAAGAAAAACACTGTTAAATAATGCCACATGTTCTTACACTAGAAGGAAACAGAGTAAAATGACTTTCAAAGAGTCCTTTTAAACATTAAGTTTATGAAATACAGTTCTGTTGTTAACGTTCCTTTTCAAATGAAAGGGATACTTATTCTACCTTCAATCCTAATATAGTTTATTGAACTGTCTGATTACAAATATATGGAACATTAAATTATAAGGAACAATTAAATTAACTGGAAACTAATTAAACAACTATATATATATTCCTGGGATAAAAACTGATTCTTTAATGCATGTACATTGTAGAATGATTAAATCAAATGACTTTTCCCTTTTTCTCTTTTTATAGTTCTTTAAGCTTTACTGTATCTAAGTTTTGCTCCTAATTATGTAGAGATCTCTGGCATTTTTAGGCATTTTTGTTGATAGCAACTTCAGGAAATCATCAAAAACATCCTCCCAGAAAACCTGAGGTCCATAATTAAATTTTAGATGGACTCAGGCTAAAAATATTAGACCTTCCCATGAAAGGGCAAAGATAATTATGTTTGTGCTCTACAGGGAGTTTACTCATATAAACTTCCTAATAGCCCTGTGAGGGTTATTACAGTACTTTACAAATGACATCAATTCCAAAAAGACCAAGAAATTTGCTTCAGAGGTACATTCTTTGGGATACTGTCTAAGTCCCAATAAAAGTGCAAAGTAAACAACATCCAATTCCAGCTAGGAAAAAAAATGCATGTAAACATTTGATATGGGTTAAAAAATAAACATGCACAAAGGAGGCTGTGTAATATTTCTATATGGCTTGACTCTGTGAGATTAATTTTAGACAAAGTAAATCTACAGTAAATAACGGGATGAGAGTCTGAAAGACCACATAGGTTATTGCCGTGGTCCAGAAAAAAACAAATTTCCTGAGCTGCAGCTTACCTTCTTCTTCATGTTTTTGATGTACCTAACACATCTTACCTTTTTCTTCATGGCTGCATTTGGCATTGCCCACCTGTAGATACAAACCAAAAGATAGTGTTTCTATGGTCTAATTGCCTTAGAAATAATAATTTAAAAAAGTACACGGAGAGATTCAGAAGAATACTCTTTAAAAGAGCTAAATATGTATAAAACCTCGGTTCAGATGTCTTCATTTTCCTAAATCATAAAACTGGGTTTATGGCTTATATTCCCTGTTTCCTTCCTAAGGCCGGGAGATGCTTCCTAGGAAGACATATTTAGGAATACGAACCATTTAAATTCAAGATTTTATATTTTCTTATAAAACTAAAGCAATACTGTGGGTACTTTCATAAATCAAACAGTATTTTAAAATACTATTTTGAATACTATTTTTTAAATTCAGCTTCTTATTTTTCAAATCTGGAAGCATCTTTGGATCTTCAATCGTCCTTCTAAGCTGTGTTTCATTCATTAAAGGCACAAAATACATATAACGCAGCTCTCAAATAGGCATATTGCATTATACGTCACTGGTCAGCAAATGTCTGTCCTCTTCCTCTTTTTATCACCAACAAGGTGATATCATCAAATCACCTTTAAGAAAACGCAAAACTCAGAACTGTCTCCATTAGAACACTACACATAAGGCAGGAATCTCAGCTCCAGGCAAAAGGCTGTTTCTGTTCTGTTTTCCATCATCAAGGGCATGATACCAATCAACCATACTGGTAAATTAAAGCAATTTATCACTGGAGGTTAGTGGCTGTTGCATTTCTCAATACTCTTTACAATTAGCACACCCTCCCTCCCAGGTACAACATAATACCCTGAACCCACCCAAGCGATCCTTCCGGTTCCCCTACTGGAGGTTCCACTTCTGGGCCCAGATTCTCATTCTCCGTCTTTTTCTCGGAGTCAGATTCTTCCATCGCGCAACAAGTTCTTCACAGTTCCTTCTAGATCCGCAGTACTCTTTTCTTCTTGCTCACCTCCCTTACTGCCTATCTTTGCCCAGTGCCTGCGGCCTCCTCTATCCCTGCCTCCTCCTTTGTCCACTGGGGGGCCGCTTTTCCCACAGTTACCTTTAAGAACCCAACTTAGTCTCAAGGCACAGCCAAGCAGGTCAGCCAAAAGGAGCCAGCGATTCGGTGCATGCAAAGGAAGAGATGGAGGAGAAGGGAGGGCAAGATGAATAAGGAATTGGTCCTCACTCCCCAAGGTCTCAAGACCGGAGGTAACTTGGTCCCCTTCAGTGCAGAATGCAAAGGCTGAGGTAATGGAATGAGCTGGACCTAAGCTGCAAGAAGCAAAGCGGTCACCGCCTGGTAGCTCCTCCCGACCTCGCTGCCAGTAAGAATCCGCCTGAGGACGCCTTTACTTCCGTGCCCGCCCTTCAGGAGAGCCTGAGTCTCACCGCAACCACGCTACTGCAGCCCAGGATCACGTGGGAACCTGCCGTAGTCCCAGGCCTGTCACGTGCCGCACCCCTTTGGGGTGGCAAGGGAGGGGAGCTTGGAAGAATACCATAGAGATGGCTCTAGAAAAGCCAGAGTGCCACCCGCTGTCACGTGGCCCGGGCTCTCATTTCCCCGCTGTGGGCCCTTAGGGTGACCCGCAGGCGCTGTGAAAGTGATGGACGTGGCCACGCCCACCCGCTGCTCAAAATTAAAGGAGAAGGTTGCGATTTCAGCACCTGCCACCTGTTTCCACTGCACCTTACGCTTAGGCTACCGTTCGTCCTTACGACAGTTCTACTAATGAAAAAACGTAATACATCTGAAGTGCTTTAAACTGCCTTTCACGTAGAAAACTCAATAAGTTGTTATTGCCAGGACCAGAAACACACACAGGGTTTTAACACATTCACCATTTAACTTTAAACATATGCAAATGTATTTTTAAATTTTCTTATTAACATGTAATACTTGCTCATACAGAATTTAGTGTGGAAAATAAGTTCACATAAGAGAATATATTTTCATAAGAGGTTAGGAAACTATAAAACTGATAACAGACCATGCTTATTATATTCTGGTATAGAGACTGCCAGAAACAGACACCAATTACGAATTCAAAATAATTGCTTCTGGAGAGCAGGACATGGAATAAGATGTGACATAAAGGAATTGCTAATTTTCATTTTAAACCCTTATATATTATATACAAATTATATAGACACACATTTTGTATATACACGCATTAGTTTGGTAAGAAAAGGTAGCAAAAAAAAAAAAGCCAGCTATTAAAGTACTCCTTTAATCCCAGCATTCAGGAGGCAGAGGCAGGTGGATATCTGAGTTTGAGGACAGCCTGCTCTACAGCATGAATTCCAGGACAGCCAGAGCTACAAAAAAACAAAACAAAACAAAACAACAACAACAAAAAAACCACCTTGTCTTAAGAAAAAAAGAGGGAAAAGAAGAAAGAAAAGGTAGCAAAAACTAGTGTCAACTCCCACCAACCCTAGTTGAGATCCTGTATGATCCTTCCTCTTCACAACTTCCATGTTTCATGAAAAGAAATACTCTATTGTGATTACTCTTTTGTGGCCCTAGCAGTAGCAAATTTTTCTGCTTCCTCCAATCAAATATTAACTGTCCAAAGGCGGTAGAGGGACCCAGCAATGACCAAAACAAACTAAAAAAAAATTAGGATATACCTATATTTCATCTAAAACTTGTAGAATACATGGGGCTGGAGAGATTGTTTGGTGGTGAAGAGAACTGTCTGTCCTTCAAGAGGACCTAGTTTCAATTCCCACCACCCACCACCTGGCAGCTCACAACTGTATATAACTACAGTTACAGGGCATCCAACACCCTCACATAGACATGAAGATACACAGAGCACCAATGTACATTTAATAAAGTAAATACACATTTTTAAAAAGTGATGTTTAAAAGCCTGATGGTGGTGGCACATGCCTTGGATCCCAGCACTTGGGAGGCAGAGGAGGTGGATATTTGTGAGTTCAAGACCAAGCTGATCTACAGAGCAAGTTTTAGGACAGCCAGGGTTCCTCAAAGAAACCCTGTCTGGAAAAACCAATAAATAAATAAACAAACAAATAAATAAGATAAAAAGTAAAAAAGTGAAATACACAAGAATACACGTAGCTCAAAGAAGAATAGATAGTAAAAATATATTCCCCAAAACTCAAGTGATAACACATGCTGGAGAGGATGGGGAGAAAAGGGAATCCTCCTCCATTGCTGGTGGGAATGTAAACTTGTACAACCACTTTGGAAATCAATCTGGCACTTTCGCAAAAAATTGGGAATAGCACTACATCCAGTGACACCCTTCCTGGTTATATACCCAAAAAATGCCCCACCACTCAACAAGGGCATTTGCTCAACCATGTTCATAGCAGCTTTATTCATAATAGCCAGAATCTGGAAACAAACCAGATGTCCCTCGGTTGAGGAATGGATACAAAAATTGTGGTATATTTACACAATGGAATACTACTTGGCAATTAAAAACAAGGAAATCATGAAATGTTCAGGCAAATGGTAGGAACTAGAAAAGATCATGCTGAGTGAGGTATCCCAGGAGCAGGAAGACACACATGGTATATATTCACATATAAGTGGGTAATATAGGATAAACATACTAAAATCTATACTCCTAAAGAAGCTAAACAAGGAGGACCCTAGGGTAGTTGCTCAATCTTCACTAAGAAAGCAAATGGGATAGACATCAGAAGCAGCAGAATACAGGGAACAGGACAGGAGCCTACCACAGAGAACCTCTGAAAGACTCTACCCAGCAGGGTATCAAAGCAGATGCTGAAACTCATAGCCAAACTTCGGGCAGAGTGCAGGGCATCTTTTGAAAGAAGGGGAAGATAAAAAGACCAGGGAGGGGGAGAGGTAGCAGCTCCACAAGGAGACCAACAGAACCAAAAAATCTGGGTCCAGGGGTCTTTGCAAAGACCGATACTCCAACCAAGGACTATGCATGGAGATAACCTATGCCCCTTGCTCAGATGTAGCCCATTGCAGCTCAGTGTCCAAGTAGGTTCCCTAGTAAGGGAAATAGGGGCTGTCTCTGACATGAACTCAGTGCCTCACCATTCCCTGAGGGGAGACAGCTTTACCAGGCCACAGAAGAAGACAATGCAGCCAGTCCTGATGATACCTGATAGGCTAGCATCAGATGGAAGGTGAGGAGGACCTCCACTATCAGTGGACTGGAAGAGGGGCATAGGAATAGAAGAGGTAGGTAGAGTGGGACTGGGAGGGGATGAGGGAGGGAACTACAGTTAGGATACAAAGTCAATAAATTGTAATAATAAAAAAATAAAATTAAAATTAAAAATGTAATAGGCCACCAAGTTGACTAGATATCTAGGGCAGCCACGGAGACACAATAGACGCCAGAATAGAGAGTCAAGCACAAACCAAACCAAAGTGAAGAACAGTTACACAGAGAAGATTCCTACTGGAGAGGAGTCAACAACAAATGTTAAAAATTAAAAAAAATTAGAGGGAAATGACCAAGATAATAAAAATTACTTCCCGCATTCACATATTCAACCAAATCCTCAGGCAACAAGGATAAAATCATAAAGGTTAGGCATATGTAAGCTGTCTCAAACGTTTTCACCTACTCTATACCTATCCTCAGTTGAACAGAACCTGAGTCCTAGCAGGCAAATCATGCCAATAAAGAAAAAGGGTAAATACAGTGGAAGGTATGACACAGAAGAGAGGCAAAGAGAGTCCTGAGACATGAGGGCAGGTCCACCACCTGGACAGACAGAATTACTCCAAAGCAGACTTCATGACAAGGACATTTAGGGACAGAATCTGTGATGCTTTGCCCAAGTTTAGAAGATTCTTCTAGCTTGTCTGTTCAGTGACCAGCAGCAATGTTTTTGACATGAAATATTAAGAAGTAAAAATCACAGATGTGGATAAATTCAAAGGAGAAGAAGATACTTAGGGAAATGTATCAAGGCTGAAGATTTTCAAACCGGAATCCCAAACCAATGGAGTCCTGAGAAATATTTTTCTCAGGAGTCTCCTGCTGGGGGAGAAAAGCTATACATAAAACTCTGGCTAAACAGGACAAACTCACCTGGCAGGAAGAGAATCCATGCCTTTCTGAAAGTGTATCTAGCTCTCATGTAAGCTGACTCACGTGTGTTTCCTGACTTCCCTTCATTCATTCTACAAGATGCAAGACAGCTGCAGGAAAAGAGAAAAAACCTGGGAGACTTTCAACTCCTGCTTTGCCAAAGTATACATCAATTCGTTTTCTCTACCAACTCCATCTCTTAATTTCTTTTGAAACATGGGACCACTAAGGTGGCAGGTTTAAGCATCCAGCAACAATGTTAGTAGTGACTTCAACCGTAAAAATGTAAACTCTAAAAATCAACACAAAGAGCAGCACTGAACAACTCTATCCAACGAACACTGGCTACACATAGTACAGGGATTCCATAAGCTAAACCATGTCTTCATATGGTGACATTTTTTTTTAAAAGGCTGATACCCAAACTGTAAATAAAGGAGAAAAAAAAAACATATTCCATGCAAATAGGCAAAACAAAGCTGGGATTACCATACTCATAGCTGATCAAATGGCATTCAATCAAACCTAAATCTCAAACTTTGGATACAAGTTATGAAAGAGACATTATTCAATAATAAACAAGTTAATCTATCAAGAACATATAAGAGATATACGTGTATATGCACCAAACATTCCCTAAATAAATGAGGTAAATTTCTACAGAATGGAAGAAAGACAAGTCCGAATCAATAGCAGTTATAGACATATATCCTTAATTTAAAAGCAATTAAACAATCAGGGAAAAGATGTATAAGGAAATGAACTTGAGAGAATCCATAGACCACCTGGATCTAATAGAAATATATAGAATATTCCACCCAAGAAAGTAAAAAAAAAATGTTCATTTTTTTTAACTTGATGAGAATATGTGATCAAAGTTAGACCATATATTTGACTATGTCATACAAAAATGTCTAAAAAACTAGCACTGGAATCATAAAAAAACTTTTCTGACTAAAATGTAATAAAATTAGAAATAAATGCCAGGGGAAACCCTGGCACATATCCAAATTTATGGAAAGTAAATAACATATTCATAAGAACAAACACTGATCCAATGAGAACTTTTTATGCTCATTTGCATTTCCTTGGTAGTTTCTTCTGCTCTTTAGTTTTCAGCATTACTCAGTTAGTAGTTAAGAGTCAGTATGTATCTTCTTAGTCTCTATAATGTTCCAGGCAGCAGGTTTAATTCATTTGATTAATCCATTTAATCCTATATTTTGCTTTAGTATCATATTTTATTTTTTTGCCTTTGTTAGTGTCCGTTTTTTTTTTTTTTTTTTTTTTTTTAAAACAACTGTGGTGTGCCTCTTCCTTTCCCCTTTGATAATCTTGACACTTTTTTTTTTTCAGTTGTCCCTTTAATGGTATCTTTATAACTTTTTACACTTAAACCTGTTTATTCAATTATTAGTATTTTAGAAAATACCTTTTAACTTTGACTTGAAAGGTGGTGAAATATCTTT